AAAAAATTTCTTCCAAATGTTATGCAGTTGCACTAGCCTACATGATTATTTATATTCTTTCAGAAAAATTAAGTTCTAAAAAAAATATAATCATAAAAAAAATTTTAATAACAAATGAGCAGTTTATCATTTTTTTCACATTAGAAATTGTCATTTCAAATGGCTCAGTATGTTCCCTTTTTTTAAGTAAAGTAAGCCCCATTGAGTCTAATAAAAATCTCCGCAAAACAATTAAGCCAACATAATAACACAACTTTTGTTTAAATTTTCTTTATATGTTTAACTTATCTATTTATAAAAAAATGTGTATTAATTTTTTAAAAAATATCTCTCATTTTAATTATTTATATGGAAAGCTGCCATTGTTGGTTGTATACACTTGGAAAAAAATTAATAAATTAGAAAAATAAACGAGATTGACATCATATATATATAAGATAGAAACAAATTTATTAACAACTACCTCTGATCCTAATTATAAGACCTCATTCATAATTTACAAATGAGATCTTATAATTAGGACTAGAGGTAATACTTCCTAATTTCGGGTTGAAGAGAATGATGAGTTCGAGACATTACCTGCAAGAATTCCAAGGAAAAATGCTGCAAAGAAATTTTAACAAAGTCAAATACGCTCTTAGGCTCTTGGCTATTGTTAGGGCGGTTCAGATTAAATATTAGGAAAATCACAAAAAAAGATCCTGAAATTTAAAAAATACAGATAGGAACCCGTGATAACTTTACTATAGGTTTTGACAACTTTATAATCTATTATTATTGTTAAAAGCCATAGTGAAGTTGTTAAGAGTTCCTATTAGTGTTTTTCAAATTTTAGGATCTTTAATTGCGATTTTTCCTTAAATATTTTTATTTTTAATTTTAAATGGTAAATTTATATTTTTAAAATTACAAGGAGAGAACGTCAAGTCAATTGGTCAAATATTACTTTTATTTTACATTAATTATTTATTTAAATAAATTTAATTATAATAATAAACTAAAATTAAATATAGATTATCTAATTTTATTATTCCTCATCTTTTTTATCTGTCATTTCATTTCCTACTAAAATAATTTCTTAAACAATATTTTAGATGCTTAAGCCATATTATTCTGTCCACTATACAACTCCTAATCACCACCTTATTCATCATATTAACAATCTATTCGCATAACTTTATCAGATCAATCACATAAGAAATCAATACGTGTGGATGAATTGTACGAACATCTAAATGTTTTCTGGCAAAAACCATAGGAAATTTTTTCTTAAACCGTTTAAAATTAAGTCACTTCTATTAATTAGAATAGCAGAGAATAATTGAAAATAATTAATATTTTTGTTCTAAAATGATAATGAACTTTTTCAGTATAAGTTTTTTTTCCGCCCGAATGTCACCCATGAGTTGTATTTCAAAGTTATGAAATTGATTACTTCTTGTTGTTGTTGTTATTCAATTGTAAGAATTAAAAATTGGATAAAACATATTACCTTGTACACAATAGCTCAGATATGCGTTCTTCCCTGAGGCATTCAATAATGGAACGTAATATTAACTCAAAAAAGAATGTTCAAATAATTTTTAAAAACTAAATGAAAGTAAAAAAATAGTAAATAGTAATTATAATCACAAAATATAACACAATGGGGAAAAGGTAAAAAACAAAGAAAGGGATCCCGAAATATGAAAATAAATTGTACTCCCTAGTCTCATATATAACTTGTAAGAAAGGTTAAGATGCAAATTTATTTCGAAAGTTTTCACTTGACAGTATTGGACACCTAAAATTTTTTTTTAAGTGTAAATTTGCTTCAAAAATTTAAAATTATAGCAAATTTCCTCATACCGTTAAAAAACTAATATTGATAGTTAAAATAGTGACGTTAACTGTTAATGTTTTTAATAGGAGGCAACACTGTTGTGATTTTAAACTTTGGGTACAAATTTGCGCAAAATGTTTTTTTTGGATACCTAGCACTCCTGAGTACAAATTCACAAGACAAGTTTATATCTTAACCCTATATAAAGACAAATAACTAAAATAGTATGTGGACTAATCGGATGTCCCCCAAGGGACTAGTACGTGGATTAATAAAAGTGGTTTAAAACAGTGATTTTATCCCACATAAAAGCAATTTTATAACAACGCCCTTATCTAATTCCCGCAGATTTACCTCTGAAAAATTAACCAAAGACTACTTTTTCCCTAGAGGAAGAGGAAGTGTTATTTTTCATTGATGGTGAGTTCTCACAAACCAAACAGGTGGAAAACGTTTGAAAATATTTATAAATATGTTTTATGTAAGCCGAAATAAAATTTATCTTACATATTTAGTTAATATTCTGTAAATTATAATTAAAGAGTTATTTATAAGTCATTGTAAATGGACAAAATATAAGAACGGCAAAATGACTTACCACAGAAGAGATAAAAAGGTACACCATCCCTACTGTAACACGAAGACGCTATTTTAATTTCTTCGCAATAGGCCTTTTGCGTGTTTGTCGAAGAAGCAAAACTCTCCAGGTGCACAAGGAAGATCTTTGCAAGCTTGTGGCCACCATGAAACCTCAAACCCAAGAGAAAGTACTGTGTGAATATCAGCCTACGAGTAGCTTTTCCCCTTCATGAATGATCTCCAATCCGAAGCAATGGTGGCCACTGATTTCACATGACACTCAGGTTTCAACCTCTCAGCCTCCAAGTCTCCAGCCACAGCATAAACATGGCCTCCTCCTTCTCCTTTCATTCCCCAGTTCACGCAGGGGAACGTATCCAGATAGCTCGCGTCGTCCGTCACCGGATCACCACAGTTCAGGTAAATAACGTGGTCGAATGCCAGTTCTGAGTCGGGTGCTGTTCCAAGAGAGCCAAGATAGGGATTATTGTTATTATAAGCGTAGGAAAGATTGTAAGTGTCGGTGGAATTAGATCGGGATAAGAAATAGCGTGGGAGGTAGGAGCAATCGCCCTCCCGAATTCCAGGATCTTTGACTCAGATTGTGTAATTGTTGTAGTTGATTCCCAGGACCTGGTATGTTCCTGAACGCAAATCAAGCAGTGTGACGTTGTTTTCACAGGCTAACTCGTGTGCCGGGATGCCACAGCCGGGTGGGTCGTCTCGGAGAGGAAATGGATGTGAGATGTTTGTGATAATGCCGCAGTGAGATGGATTACAGGTTGTACTCTCATCCTTAGAACTCATTGTTTGGGGCGTTACATAAATAAGAGTGAAGAACACTAAGCCCCGCAACCTGATTAAGCCTATTTTTCCTCTACCCATCCTTCACAATGATAGCCAATGCACCCTCCTGACTCAATGGCTTCCATCTCAAATCAATCCAAGAGTTGCAGACCATTAATAAATTACAAGCTTCTTTTTAGCCCCCTGACTTTGAATACACAAGACAAAGTGGGAAATTTTATATTTCCAATCACAGCTCCCAAAGGTGGACATAGGTGTGCTTCAGACCATTAAAAAATTACATGCTTTAATTTAGCTAATCGTAACCCCTCAGCCTCACTATTCCGCTTTTTAATTTCTTAAAAATAAAGAAATTCCAGAGCCACAGGGTTGTTTTTTTATTCAAAAATGACCTGAATTTTTGCTATCAAAGAAAAGCTTTGGTTACAATAATGTGTTGCTATCAGATATTTTTGTGGTTGGTGACAATGTAGGTAGTGGTGCTGTACATGTTTATGAATTCGGTGGGGAGAATTATGCGATGTTGGAAATTGTCTTCTAGAGCTTTTTTTTTTTCCCTCCCTAAGTACATGTATTCTTTTATTAGAGGCTATTTTGTTTGAAGTACTGTTAGGTACTAAATGTGGACACCTCTCCCAGTAAAGATTTAAATCTTGGTTTGCTATATTATGATAGACTTGTTCATTCTGCTAAACTTGCACCCAATGTTTCCTAAACTATTATATCTACCACTTCAACGATTCTAGGTTCCAATGAATATAAAACCAAAATTGTTCAGTGAGTTCTTATCGGTGATATTAATAACGACATGCCTCAAGCTTCAATTATGCTCTCCCAAATGACATAAAGCATCTCCCTTAAGAATTTAAAATGTGAGATTATGAGTTTGAACCCTCTACTATAAGGGATAATGAGTGCCTGAGTTATGATAAGGAAAAATAATATGATGCATGATCTAAAATTATGTGCAACCCACAAACATTCCACTATCTAATTTTTAAAGATCAATATTGCCTATAATCCATTTTTTTGAAAGAACAAATCAAACAAATCTATATAGTATGGTAAGAGAATCACTTACCTTTTACACCATGCCAGATAAGAGGCAAAGGGGTGAGCTGACCTCATAACAGCTTGGCAGGAACGTCTAGATTAATACAAACAAAAAATGTTGCCTGTTTATTATACTTTTATTAATATCATTTTACAATTCGTCACTTATTTTATTTTATCTTTTAGTACATCTAAATTTGGTTCTCATATAAACTATATATGTAATAATACTCTGCTCCTGTGCCGAGTTACTATTCCTTTTTTTTTTTTTGGTATGTTGTGTATTTAGTATTTTTTTAATTTAATTCCTCTAAAGGGTAAATTAATGAAGAGGAAATTTAGTTTCAAAAAGAATTCGAAAACCAAATATGAGATTGGGAATATGTTCATCTGTTTTATAGGGGCCTGCATTCTTGAACTTATCTTTAACTGAAGACCTTCTATTGGAAAAGGCAGCGGATTACTGTTCTGAGGCAGTGACATATTCAAGCCACCACACATACACACACAAACACCATTTTTGTTATGTGATTACTATATATATATCCATTAACAAAATCATCTAGAATAATGTTAGGATAGAGAATGAGTTCAAAGAGATTAAGAGTCATTAGTCCTTATACATATCATTACATCATAAGTAAAAGTAAGATATGAAAATATACAAGAGCAAAACCCAAATCAGGACAGCAACTAAGCATTATCATGAAATACAAATTTACAAGTTAAATGCATAGTATTATGTCTCGTCACTTGCATCCTCTCCTAGATTGCCATCAGAACTTGTGGGTAAAGATGATGTTTGGTCACAGTTGGCTCTAACATTACCATCAGGATATATAGAAGGTTTTGGAGGCATCTCAAGACTTTGAACATCATCTACTTCTAACATCTCTATTACTTTGTTCATTGAAGGACGATCAACAGGATTAAACTGAATGCACCATAATGCCACTATGAACATTTTCTTTGCTAAAGCTTTGTCCTCTTCTATCAAATCCTCCATTTCTATATCTTTTTCTTCATCAAATTGGTCATAGATCCATAGGGGAAAATATAATTGGCTTGAATGCTCTGCATGCGGATTCAAGTTTCTTCTTCGGCTCGTCATTTCCATTAAAAGCATTCCAAAACTGTAAACATCAGATTTATAGGATACTTTTCCAATATTCTTATAGAATAGTTCAGGAGCTAGGTACCCTATTGTCCCTCTTGCTGCAGTCAAAGTGGCAATGCTATTATCACTAGAATATAGCTTTGCTAGTCCAAAGTCTGAAATTTTGGGGGTCAAGTTGTCATCAAGAAGAATATTATGAGGCTTGATATCAAAATGCAAGATTTGCATGTCACTACCATGATGAAGATAAGCAATGCCACGGGCCACTCCTAAAGATATCTCATATATCTTATGATAATTCAAGGAGGATTGTCCTTCTTTAACAAAAATATGTTTATCCAAAGATCCATTGGACATGGATTCATAAATAAGAGCATGTTTAGTTCCTTCCACGCAAAAGCCAACAAGACGCACCACATTGAAACGGTGTATCCTTCCTAAAGTTGCCACCTCATTGATAAAGTCTTGGCAAGTAGCTTTGGATTTATCACCCAACATTTTAATTGCGACATCAGGTCCACTTCTTAACTTGCCTTTGTACACAGTCCCAAAGCCTCCTTCACCTAACTTAGTCTTGAAACCGTTTGTCATAGTCTTTAAATCCTTGTAGGAGTACCTTAATGGATGAAGGCTATGAAGTCGTATGAAATCCTCAATGCTTCCATAGCCTGATAAGTGTCTTCTCCGCCATGTGTAAATCAACAAGATGAACAGAAATAATATACCAACCTGAAATCTTAGAATAATGACAGTGAAAACATATCCTGTGATTTTTCCCAAGGCGAAGGCAACTTGTAGTGAAATGAAATCGCCATCATATTTATCACCAGCCTCGAACTCAATCTCCTTCTGCACTGACTCTGCAACTGCGCGTGTACATATTTTCCACAAACGTCATAAAATTGGTTTGTCCCAATAATATGATTAACAAATAAAGTCACTCAAAAGAGAGTTTTCTCAAATCAAAGTGTGCGTGTGTCTGTATATATTCAACTTCACAGGAAGCCACAGTTTTCATATGTAGGTTATAACTAGTACTCTTCTAGTCATATTTATAGTGCAAAGAGTGAAATTTTTGTTTTTCATATGAATATACAATGTTACTATTCATTTATTATTGTGTCAATTTTGTTCTTATATTATATAATGTACATTAAATAAGGATAAAGTTAGAAAATTGTTAAATTTTGAGCAGGTTTTAAAAGTTAAAAAAGTTTAAGGTTTTTCTTTATTTGTATAAAACATGTTGAAAATGACTTATAAAAAGGATCAAAGAAGTACAACTAATATTTAATTTTGTGTTAAACATGGACTCAAAATAAACGAAAGCATTTTTTTTTACCAATAAATATGATAGATAACATAATTTAATTTTTCGTAAGTGTATATGATATAAGACGCATATATACACATACATATTAGCTTACTCAAACTCATGAACATATAGTTACAATGCACATTATTTTCACAATATAATCACTAAATTAAGGAATATAACATATTAAATAAATATACACACGCACATATTAGAAAATAAGGCTTGGCTATACTTTATTCTCTCCATAGTTTATTTATGTATAGACTCAAATCTTGTTATTTTTACTTTATTAACTTTTAAATTGTGACAACTTTTGCTCTTTAACAATACATTCAGTCATAGTCATTTTTCAATCCTGGAGAAATTAAAAGTCATGCGGTAAAATTAATCATGTTGAAGTGCAAAAATAAAATTGAGAAAAAATATATCGTAATGAATATATATTATCAATTTACTTATAACTATTATATTGTTTATAAATAAACAATAATATTCCGAATTCCATATAATTGTACGTATGAATATATGATATAGTTCAGGATCTTACGCTTATGAATATCCTTAGAAGATAGCAAACCTGCAAGAAAAAGTTCACAGAGGTCAAGGGTAACACTTAGAGCGGGACATGGGCGAAAATCTCCTTCCGAAAGTAGAAAAGAAAAAAAAAATTATTGTGCAATTTTATATAAATAATTAATCATTGAAAAATCCTCCAACAAATTAATAGCATAAACAAAATCTGGTACAGAAAATAACAATAGGTCATTGCATAAGTGTCTATGACAATAACATATAGGAAATAAAAAAATTAACTTAATAAAAACAAAATAATGAGTTCAAGACATTACCCGTAAGAATGCCAACGAGAAAGTCTGCACGGGAAATTTTACAAAAGTCAAATATACGAACGACAACTCTCCGAAGGAAAGTAATGATTATTTTTAAATGTCCCTTAAGAGTTATATAACTTAGATTTCAAAGGTACAAAATTGATACTCTTTTTTTTTTTTTTGTACAAACCAGGTGGCATCCCACCACCAATAGGTAGAGACTAATTCAAGGACATCATATTTAAGGGACTCAGCAATCTATCAATTGTGCCGGCCTTTGTTGGTGATGCTCTTTTATTTTAAATATAAGAAATATCTAGTGCTTAATATAAGAGTTATTTAATTAATTTGAATAGATTAACAAAGTTAGTTATTTATAACAAGTGTGGGTTGATTTTCTTAAAGTATTCTTTTAATCATGATTATCCTTGGATAAAAACTCTCTTGATATGTGTAATCAATAGAAATACTTTGGATAATGAATTATAAATTTGGGAGATAAAGTGAATTAAGTCTTACATTTAGAACCAAATTTAATTTTCAACTAGTTTTTATATTAAAAACCGAAGATGGTAGCTAGGAAGTTGGTTTTAATCTATCCAAATTAATTTAATAACTCTTACATTAAAAACCAGAAGAGTGTCTGATCACTTCTTAATGTTCTTGTTATTTAATACTCCTCCGATTCTTGATATATGACTTAATTATTAAGTTGATCTTAATCCTAAATGTAAGACATATTTCTCATATTTATCAGTTTCTCTTAAATTATTCTTATTGATACTCTCTCAATCATAATCAAGTAGGTGAGGAAAGGATGATATTAAGGAACATAATTATAATGTTTTAGGAGAAACATGTTATATTTCTTATAATTAACTACGTTACTAACTTTTTTAATCTAATTAAATTAGTTCAATAGGTTTTATATTAAGAAGAGAAAGAATAGTAAGAATTAAAAATTGAATGAAAAAATGTTACCTTTTACATGAGTGCTCAAATATGCCGCCTTTCCTGCCGCATTCAACAGTAAAGCATAATATTAATTTCTTTAGATGATATATTTAAAAATTAATCTTACGAAATAAGAGATAAATTGAATAATTTTCTTAGGAAAAATTATAATATGGAATCAATGCTACTGAATACTGATTTATGATGGAATTTTTTGGGATCATATTCTTTCTTTGTTTTTATTTATTTATTTATTGAGTTCTCACAAACCAAACAGGTAATAAGGCAACGGCGAAAATGACTTACCACAAAAGAGAGAAATAGATACTCCTTCCAAACCGAAACAGAAGTCCTAATTTGTGAGCAATAGCCCTTTTGCGTGCGATCGTCGAGGACGCAAGTCTCGTAAGTTCCGCAGTGAATATCCAGACAAGCTAGCGGCCACGATGAAATCTCAAAACCATGGGAAAGTACTGTGTGAATATCAGCGTATGAGTAGCTTCTCCAGTCCAGGAATGAACTCCAATCTGAAACAATGGTGGCCACTGATTTCACACGACACTCAGGTTTCAACCTCCCAGCCTCTAAGTCTCCAACTACAGCATAAACATGGCCTCCTCCATCTCCTTTGGATCCCCAATCCACGCAGGGAGCCGTATCCACGTAGTCCGCATCGTCCCTCACCGGATCACTACAATCCAGGTAAATGACGTTGTCGATTGTAGCTTCTGAACCTGCGGATGCTTCTAGAAAGACAGCATAGGGATTATTCCTATCATATTCGAAGGAACCATTATAAGTGTCGCTGAAATTAGATCGGGATAAGAAATAGCGAGGGAGGGAGGAGCAATCACCCTCCCGAATGCCAGGATCTTTAACTCGGATTGTGTAATTTTTGTAGTTGATTCCCAGAACCTGGTATGTTCCTGAATGCAAATCAAGCAGTGTGATGTTGTTTTCACAGGCTAACTCGTATGCCGGATCGCCACAGTTGTCGTCTCGCAGACGAAATGGATATGAGATGTTTGTGATAATGCCGCAATGAGACGGATTACAGGTTTTGCTCTCATCTTTAAAACTCGTTGTTTGCGATGTCACATACACAAGAGTGAAGTACATCAAGCCCCAGAACCTGATTAAGCCTATTATCCCTCTACCCATCCTTCACAGTGATAGCCAATTCACCCTCCTAATTCAATGGCTTCTCATCTCAAGTCAATGAAATCCATTCTTTTTTAAACTGCATTGCAGCCCATTAATCAATTATGAGTTTCTTGCCCACTATGTTTGACTACGCGTGATAAAGTGGAAAATTTTTTATTTTCAATCACAGCTCCCAAAGGAAGAAATGGCAATGCTTTAGCCCACTAAAAAATTATACGCTTTAGCTAAGACCCCTCAAGCTCACCGTTGCCTTTTCTTTCCTTTTTGAAAACACAAAGAAATTCCAGAGCCACATGGTTGTTTTTTAATTCAAAATTGACCTGAAATTTTTGTCCTGCTCAGTAATGATGTTTCTGGGCAGCATCCCCCTTCCCCTGCTCTATTTCTTCTTCATGTGATGCCATGTTAGTTATACTTATATGTGGGAATTTGAATTTTAAGTTCGATTAAAAGAAAAGCTTCGGTCGCAATGGTTTGCTGTCAGAGAGCTTTGTGGTTGGTGATAATGCAGGTGTTGGTGCTGCTTATGAATCTGGGGAATGCTCAGAACCAGTGTGTCCCTGACGATGAAAGTGTTCCGTTCCGTCTAGTACAGGCCACACTTGATAGTAATCCCTGTTCTACTACAACTAACAATGTGGAGATGGTTGAGTTCCCCGGAGTACTGGCTCTTCAAGGAGTTAGACTCGCCGTCTTAGAAAAACACTATGAGTCCCGCATCTTAAAATTATGTGATGTTGAAGGTTGTCTTCCTAAACTCTTTCTACGACTTCATCGTTCATCCATTTATCCTTTCCAATTTGAAACAGTTAGGTCGGCATCATCCAACAAAAGTTTCGGTGTTACATTTTTCGATTGTTCCTCGATTGGGTCGGAATACTTGAAAAACGACGATTACTCGTTCCAAGCAAATTTGCGTGTTTGTCCCATTTATGTTGTTGGCTCCACCGAAGGTATCCTTGAGAGGGACGTGACCTCTTGCACCAAGATGTTGCACTTAGATTCGCCATTAGACCAAGATGATTTTCTGTTCAACAATTTTAACTTTAGATGGCCCCACCCCAAATGTGATGTCGATAACAACAAGACAATATTATTCAAATTTGTTTTACCAGCTTCAGGTAAAGATAGTTCACTTTGCTTCACCTTCATTTTTTCACCATTTGGTTTTTGAATGTTCCTTGGATTGAAATTAAATGTTAGATTAATGTGCTCGGTAACTACACAGGTTCAATTGCGTCAGTTTTGTGCATTGTGTTCCTTCTACTAATAGATCGCTACTTCAAAACGAAAGGAGATGATCATGCAACGCTTGAAAAGTTTTTGAAGGATTACGAAGCTCTCAAGCCTACAAGATTTTCCTATGCTGATCTCAAAAGAATTACAAACAATTTCAAGGATAAAATAGGCGAAGGAGCTCATGGATCAGTGTTCAAAGGTAAGCTATCCAATCAGATTATAGTAGCTGTGAAGTTACTGAATAACTCTGATGACAATGGGAAGGACTTCATTAATGAAGTAGGGACTATGGGTAAAATTCATCACATCAATGTTGTTCGTTTGCTTGGCTTTTGTGCTGATGGTTTTCACAGTGCTCTTATTTATGACTTTTTTCCAAATGGTTCCCTCCAAAAGTTCATATCTTCCCCAGACAACAAGGAAAATTTTCTTGGATGGTTGAAGTTGCAACAAATAGCTCTGGGCGTAGCCAAAGGGATTGAATATCTCCACCATGATTGTGATTATCAAATTCTTCATTTCGACATCAATCCTGGTAATGTGTTATTAGATCATAACTTTACTCCCAAAATTTCTGATTCTGGTCTAGCAAAATTGTGTTCCAAAAATCAAACTGCTGTGTCGATAACAGCAGCTAGAGGAACTTTAGGCTATATTGCACCTGAGGTTTTCTCTAAAAACTTTGGAAATGTTTCATATAAATCAGATGTCTATGGTTATGGGATGTTATTGTTAGAAATAGTTGGAGGAAGGAAAAATACTCACACAAGTGAAGAAGCTTTCCAAATTTTATATCCAAAGTGGATCCATAATTTGATTGAAGGGGGAGACACAAATATTCACATTGAAGATGAAGATGACAATAAAATTGCTAGGAAACTAGCAATTGTGGGACTTCGGTGCATCCAATGGCATCCGATCAGTCGTCCATCCATGAAAACATTGATATAGATGTTAGAAGGAGAAGGTGATGAATTAAAAGTGCCCCCAATTCAATTTGACTCCAGAAATTCTATTAATACAAGGATCAACATTCCAGCAAGACATTTGAATTTGGGATTGGAAATTATTCATGAATTAGAATGAGAAGCATCCTCATGTAATTTGTATTTCTATTGGAAAATATTTTGTCAGAGTTTATGATAGTGTTGTGTTGGTGATGCAAATAAACTTTGTTTATCATGCATGCAAGTGCAAATGCAATTTTTTTTTTTTTCATTTTAGCGTTGTAGCCTTTTATATTTCGCATTATCTTTGTAGATTTGGGAGTACGGCCTTGGGTTAGAAATTCTTAATGAAAAAAAAAATTAAATGAGAACTTGCCAGTAAAGATTTGTTAATAAGAATTGGTCTCATTCTATAATGTTTGTGGAATATATTTGTAAGCGTTAATAATAAAATTGCTCCTTTTTGTATAGTATAATGTGGATAATCTGTATATCAGATAGTGAAATACAAACTCCCCTTTTTTATAAGACAGTTTATAAATAAAGAAATGGATTCTAATTTTTTTGTTATATTTTCAATATATAAAAAGAATGAAAAAAATAATTTGATATGTTGTGCGAGATAAATATATGAAAAATTTATCATAAAACACCAAAAAAAAAAATTTAATACCAAACACGTACTTAAACCTTTTTTTTTTTTTTTTACCAGCAACTTCCTTAAACTTATCCAGTGTGCAGGACTAGCCTCTCTATAAATGAGAAATGACAGCAAGCAACAATGGTCATTTCCAAGTTGCATGTAAGGATGGTATCATATGTGGTGATCAAGATCAAGAGATCTCACAATAGTCTCAATCGTAATTTAATTTATTTTGGCCAGACAGTTTTAATATAATTGCGGTAATTTAATTTTACATTATTTCTGGACAATTCATTAGGAATGTTAATATTTAATTATTTTTAAGCATAAAAAATTAATAGTCGACATATTGAGGATTATACTGAGTTTTGCATTTACCCATGTAGAGATTCAATAATGGACCTATGTTTTAAAAGTCATAAAAAGAATTGGGAAAATTCTAATTAAATCCATTTGAAATAGCAAAATCCTAATTTAAGTCTATATTTTTAACAAATTCTTAATTAGGCCAAGAGGCCTAATTGGAGATTTTTAAATGTTGCTAAAAGACCAAAATACCCTTCATAATTAAAAAGCCCAATTTTAGTTTTAATTCTTTTAATTGAATTTAACTAGCATGTTTTTTTCTTTAAATATTATCATATGAAAATTTGGCCAAAAACATTATCATACAAAAAAAGAAAAAGAAAAATCACGATTATGGCCAATAAAAAATAATTGAAAAGTCAAGATAAAAAAATGCATAATTTCTAGATATCTATAGAATTACAAAAATATGGGAACTAATAAAAATTTTACGATTTCAAATGTTAAAGATTAACAGGATCAAAGATTTTTTTTTGTGCGAGAAAAAATCAAATAAAAGATTCACAAAATTCTTGAATATCTATCAAAATTAATTTTATTGTTTCACAAATTACATTGAGACTCATCAATTCATCTTCAATTTTTCGGTCTCCAAAATTTATTCAATATCAAATTTTTATTATATAAAAAATAACTAAAAGGCTATAAATTCTAGAGTTGATATAACGTTCATAAGTACAAAACACAATTTTAATATAAAGTCTAAAAAAGACCACGTCCTCATTAGTAAATATACTAGAATAATTAAAACTAAAATTAGACTTACACCTACATTCAATTTTCCTTTTTGATTACAAAGAGGCATTTTAGTCTTTTAGCAACATTTGAAAATCCCTAATTAGGCCACTTGCCTTAATTAGGAATTTGTTAAAAGTATAAGCCTTAATTAGAATTACATTAATTCAGATGGATTTAATTGGGATTTTCCCAAAAGAATTTGTTTCTTATTAAAATAAGTGTAATATGCTATCACATACGTGCTATTAGGTCAAAGAATAATGAACATAAAAATTCTAAGGCATATTTTTTCCCCCCGTGTTCATTATTAGAAAACAGATCCATTTTGTCAAAGGTTGTCAAAATTAGTGCATTACTATGCATTTTTTATTTGAATCCATATACGTTATATAGTTTATTTTATTGGAGTTATAAGTTAGTGCTTACATTATAGAACACTAGCCAATTTTTTATATTTGAAAGTGATAGTGTTTAGGTATAACTTTGACCTATATTAGTATTGGTTATTATATTGATTCTTTCATATATTGTTTTTAATTAGTGCATGCCATGTATAAACGGTGCTACCAAACATCATATAAAATAATCCCATGTTGATAGCAATCTCAATTTAAATAGATAGCAATCCTTTTCACATCCGTGCTTCTCATATTTATATATGTGTGTGTAAAAAGAGTTTGGAATCTAAAGATAATATATATATATATATATATATAAAATGTTGAGCTTATCTTGGATGAGCTTCGCAGAGATAATCCTTTATTCACTGTAGTTTCCTTTTGAATAATTTTTTTCCCCAAAAAAAAGGTGATCATAAGAATCACTTGCAGAGTTTTAAATTTGTGCCTGAAAGAAACTGCCATGACAAATATTGTAATTTCCCTCTCACCAGATTCCCTATGATATATATATATATATATATATATATATATTTATAATCGCATTATAGATGGAACAGGGCCACTTAAAAATAATTGTGAAGGGAGAAAACGATTTAATAGATTTCTTTTAACTATACACAAATATCCTCTTATTATAAATTCTGTCTAAGACACTATTAGATATTAAATATGGGTACATCTTTCAATGAGAATTCAAATTTTGATTTATTATGTTATGGAATGCTAACCTCTTTTATTAGACCTAACTTCTGTGAATAACGTTCTAATATTTGATAGATGGTGGTTTGGCCTAAATGATAATGATATGAAAAGGAAAAGGGAGCGGAGAATATGAAAGAGACCTGAAGAAAAGAGAGGAATTCAAAATATTTGGGAATTTATTAAATCAATAATCAGTTAAACATAAAGGAGATTGATTCACTTGCTAATGCTACTCATGCTGAGTTAGCAAGCCAATCTGGTATCTGGCACATGAAAAAAAAAAAAAGTTAGTTTGGAACTTTTGATATTTTTAATAATTTGAAATTTTGGGGTTGTTTCTCCATATGACCATATGCAAGCAGGGTCTCAAGCTCAAATTTCATCCTCTTGGGCCTAGAAGGTGTATCATTGGGCCTCCTATATCGATAATGGACTGAAGTGGCCGTTAACTATTTTTTTAATTATTAAAAAGCTTTTTTTGGGGCCAAAAAAGTAATTTTATTAAAAACAAGTAAAAGAGATACACTTAAAAGGTCTTTTTCACGTTGTCAACGTAATAGTAAAGAACTCGGTTATCTTTTTAAGTAAGGATGAGAATTAGAATCTTATGAATGAAGAGAAGTCATATCTGGAGACTGGAGATCTATCTCTGAGCATATGTGAGATAATGTGAGGAAGGTTTAAATTGCTTTAGCCTATTCAATCTGGATCTCTTTTCTTTTTTATCTCTCCTCCACCTGACTGATATTGTGTAATATGACAAAATCTTCGTGTGGGTTCATATCATAATTTCTTATAATAACATAATAAATTAAATACACTTTTTTATTGAATGATATGTAGTAGTTACCCAAGTTTGTATATGTGCTATTTATATACCTATACATATAATACAAACTTTATAGGACACTAAACTATTTATAACTTAGTGAACAATAGAACTCATTTCGAATTATCTGTGCAAAGCATAAACATCTACAATCTAATTCTTTTAAAGAAGAATGTTGCCTTGAATCCTTTTTTGGAATAAACCGAAGTCTTTGTGTTGGAAAAAGGAAGTGGATTTCTGTTCTGTAGTGGCACATTCAACACAATGTATACCATATTTATTACTCTCTGATCCTATTCATAAGTCACTTTCAATATGTTATTAATAAAATGAGTTCACAAAAGAAATTAACAATCATTGTACACATCATTACATCATTATTAAAAGTAAAAATAAGATTTAAATTATAAGAGCAAAACCCAAATCAGGACAACAACTAAGTATTGTCATAAAGTACAAATTAATATGTTATAAATGCAGAGTATTATTCCTGCATGTCGCTTGCATCCTCACATAGATTGGAATGAGAACACGTGAAGGATAAAGATGATGTTTCGTCACAGTTGGGTCTATCATTTGCAGGATACAAAGAAGGTTTTGGAGGCATTTCAAGACTTGAAACATCATCTACTTCCAACATCTCTATGACTTTGTTCATTGAAGGGCGATCGGCAGGATTAAACTGAATGCACCATAATGCTACTATGAACATTTTCTTTGCCAAAGCCTTTTCCTCTTCTGTCATATCATCCATTATTTCTATATCTTTCTCTTCATCAAATTGGTCATAAATCCATGATGGAAAATATAATTGGCTTGAATGCTCTGCATGTGGATTCAAGTTTCTTCTCTGGCTTGCCATTTCCATTAAAAGCATTCCAAAACTGTAAACATCAGATTTATGAGATACTCTTCCAATATTCTTATAGAATAATTCAGGAGCTATGTATCCTATTGTCCCTCTTGCTGCAGTCAAAGTGGGAATGCTATCATCAATAACATATAATTTTGCCAGTCCAAAATCTGAAATTTTTGGGGTCAAATTGTCATCAAGAAGAATATTATGAGGCTTGATATCAAAATGCAATATTTGCATGTCACAGCCATGATGAAGATAAGCAATGCCACGAGTCACTCCTAAAGATATCTCATAGATTTTGCGATAACTTAAGGAGACACTTCCTTCTTGGAAAAATATATGTTTATCCAAAGATCCATTGGACATGAATTCATAGATAAGAGCACGTTTAGTTCCTTCCACACAAAAGCCAACAAGACGTACCACATTGAAATGGCGTATCCTTCCGACAGTTGCCACCTCATTGATGAAGTCTTGACAAGAAGCTTTGGATTTATTACCCAACATTTTAATTGCGACATCAGGTCCACTCCTTAGCTTCCCTTTGTAGACAGTGCCAAAGCCTCCTTCACCTAACTTAGTCTTGAAACCTTTTGTCATAGTCTTCAGTTGCTTGTAGGAGTACCTTATTGGATGAAGGTTATGAAGTTGTATGAAATCTTCAATGCTTCCATAGCCTGACAAGTGTCTTCTCCGATATGTGTAAATCAGCAAGATGAACAGAAATACTATACCAACCAGAAATCTTAGAATAATTGCTGGCGTAACATATGCTGTGATTTTTCCTAAGGTGAATGAAATGAAATGTCCATCAACTTTATCACCAGGCTTGGAGTCAAGACTCTTTTGCCTTAAATATTCCTTTGCAACTGCACGTTTATATTTCCACAAATTAAAGGTCATAAAATTGTTTGTCCAAAAATATGATGAGCAAAGTCGCTCAAAAGAAAATTGTTTCTCAAATCAAAGTCAATATATATTTCCAATCATATAGAGCCACATTTTTCATATGAAAGTTATAAATAATACAACTTATATTAGAAGCATGCTGACAATATAGTTTATGGAAAAAAAAAATTTTGGCAATAACTACGCATAATTTCTGTTTATGATTAAAATATGGTAGCTGGCGTAATTTAATTTTTAATAAAACACACTTACACACGTACATATTAACCTACTCAACCTATGAACTTAAAATGCACTTAACACGCGTTATTTTTTTCCGGTCAAGTAACTATGCATATTTATAAAGTTTATTTTTCAGGAAAAAGTTTAATAACACGCATGTATGGTTATAATGCACTTATTTTCACAATATAACCAATGAATTGAGGAATAAAACATTAAAAATATCTCAAAATAGGTATCTCTTAACGAATACATACTTCTCAATTTAACTATAAAAATTATATTTTATAAATCAAAAGTAACATTTCAAATGCCCTATAACTGTGCATGTGCATATATGATAGTTTACGATCTTACACTGATTAATACGCTTCGAAGATGACAAACCTGCAAGAAAATGTTCACAGACGTCAGCTGTAACAAACACCACGGCAGGGACATGTTCGGACCCCCCCCCCCAAAAAAAAAAAAACAACTATTTTTAAATTTTGTGCAATCATCCAAGCCTACATAATTATTTTTCTCCGCTAAAAAAAATCTCCCAGAAAAATTAAGTCAACATAAGTAATGCAACTTATTTTTAAATTTTGTGCAATTACACAAAGCCTGCATAATATTTTCTTCTAGCATAAGAGGTAAGCTCTGCCTACTGAGATTATCTTCCCGGGCTACTATAAGGACAATATGTGTGTGTATGAAATTCAAACCCGATCCAAATCATTTGCTTAGGCAACTAGAATTCATGCCACTCACTCCAACTGGAATTGGTATTTACACGGGCCAATATTAAAACAACTCCACCAAATTTTAAATATAAGAATTAAATAATTAATTTATAACTATTAAAAATAGTTAAATTAATTATTTTTTAAAAAACAGGTATTAATTTTTCTAAAATATTTTTTATTTTAATCATACTCTCACCATGATTGCATACATTTGAAAATTATTAAAAAGCCTAAGTCCCTTTAAAAAATTTGATGCTTATATTTTTAACCAGATGAGTATTATTTAACTAATTTAAAATAAAGGTTGATTGGAAAATGAACTAGAGACGTACCGTGAGAGAGGAAGAACAAGTTATTTTTTTTAATACAAAAAATTTAGATGAGTTAAATTATGAGCTGATTCTTTATTAACTAAACTAACTTTCATTAGGGAGAGAGAACAAGCTGCTTAGCTGCTTGTGCTTAGAAATTGTGCACCAACAAGTGTTAGTCTAAATAAAAAGGACTTGGACACTTTAAACATTATGTTTTGGGTTCGATTTTTGAGGCGATATATATGAAAAAAAATAATGTTGGAAAGGATTCCTACTATGGTGCCTGACAGTATTCCTTAAAATTAGTCTCTTACTATTTGGGTAGGAGGATATTCTGAGTAATAAAAAAAATTGAAATTGTGCAGGCCCAATTGTTATTTACCCTTCCACCAATGGCAGGCACACAAAAGAGAATACAAATTAAAGCAGTGAAAAGGCCGTCTCGATGGGAACGATTTTATTTACAATTTAAAAAGAATAATACCACATCAGCAATGAGATAGAAGTCGTTCTTTCCTAGAAAGAGTTTTGTATAAATTTGAAGCTGTTCCAGACATGAATGGCTTTAAATGGAACATCTTGATAAATATTTTTTAAAACATAGTATTTGTCTATTTGAGTATTTTTATTTACTGTTTATAATATATAGGTTAAAAAGCCTACCCCTCTAATGCCCCAACATCTTTAATTTTTCTTTAACAATTTTTTAAAAAATAAATTAAAACTACATAATTTTTGGGTTTTTTAAAAAATCGTAAAAAATATTAAAGTTGCATCATTTGGTAACTACTATATTATGCTACCATAATATCTTTTACTTTATATAAAAAATAATTATAAAAAATTTAGAAAAATGAGCATTACAATAAGTAATAAAAAGGCGAGGCATAAAGCAAAACCCACTAGAAAACTTCCAGTGCTTCGAAACTCCACGCTTTATTTAGTGTTTGAAACCTCCTAAAATAATCAATTTTGTATCTAATGAACTTTTTTTACTTATTTATTTGGAAAAACCATTTTATAGGTATTTATAATTTTGCTCAATTTTTAATTTGATATATATGCGTTTTTCTTTTCTGAATAAATACTATAATTTTACTCGATTAGCATAATTAGTTTTCACATACAAGCTAACAGTACTAATAGAATAAAGTTACAGAAGCTAACAGTGCTAATAGAATAAAATTAAAGTGTTTAAAAGGAAAAAAATATAGATGTAAAATTAAAAATTCATGAAAAGTATAACTACAGTAAAATGATTTCTTTTTTCCTATTTATTTCAAACATCTTTAAACATACACTTGCAAGCTAACAAAAACTTAGTAAGCTACCAAAGGTGTCGCTAGTTATAAAATCATAGGGACTGATGAGACAAAGTTAGTGTGACATGAAAATTTAAAAACAACTAAAAACCCATTTAGAATGATTTATAAATAATTTTAATCATAATTTTTAAAATTCAAGATAAATATGAATATAAAATTTTGTTTCAATTTAAAAAAATATATTTATAAATATTTTTTAACGTGATTTTAAATAGATCCTAAATTGACAGAAAGGGTCATGAATAGACAAAATAAATTCTAAATAACAGTAAGCCAATAGAACGTGAACAAGTATCGTATGTATACTGTGAGTTCGAGACATTACCTGCAACAATCCCAAGAAGAAAAGCTGGAAAGGAGAATTTTGCAAAAGTCAATACCGTTACGGCGGTTCAGGTTAAATATTTTGTAATAATGAACTAAAATTAAATCTAGATTATCTAATTTTATTCCTCATAACACGGCCAAAAATGGCTCTTTTTTTCTGTCAGTTCATTCCCGAATAAAATAATTTCTTAAAAATTAATATAAATGCTTAAGTCATAGAACTATTTCCTGTCCTATTTATAAAACTTTGTTTACAAATTACAAATGAGATCTTATAATTAAAATTGAAGGTAATATTACACAACTCTTAATCACCCCATTATTCATCATACTAAAAATCTGTTGGCGTAACTTTATCAGATCAACAGCACAATTGAAAAAGTCGAAGCGAAAAAAGAAATGAAAATTCAATACGTGTGGACGAATTGTACGAATATGTAAATATTTTCTGGCAAAAACTATCTAAAATTTGTTATCTTATTTTACAAAAGAAAATTAAAACTTTTTGTCCTAAACGGCTTAAAATTAAGTCCCTTAAAAAAGGCTAAAAAAAATCAATTAAATCCAGCTGACATATAAAAATTCAAATTCAAACATATACTTTTAATAAATCTTTAATTAGGCCAATAAATCTTTAAGGAAAAATAACACAAAAATAACACTTAAACTTGAAAATACCAAATAGTCACTTGAATTTACAAAATCCCAATTTAGTCCTAAGTAATTAATTTGACATTTGTAAATTTGCTGAAATAACCATATTACCCTTTATTTTATTTATTGTTTTTTAAAAAACCAAATACCGCCACTGGCCGGCCGGTCGCCGGAGCTCTGGTGCCAATAGTTGCTCTTAGAGCTCAGGTGGCCGCCGTCGCTAGAGCTCCGGTAGCCGATAACCATTTTTTTGAAAATTTTTACAAATTCAGTAAAACGGTTAACAAGTTTTGTAACGCTATTAACAAGTTTAGTGTAGCAATTAACAACAGCTTTTCAAAAAAATTATAAAAATACCATTTTTACAATTTCAGTAATACTGTTAATAAGTTCCGTAACTCTATTAACAATTATAGTATAACATTTAATAACAGGTTTTCTGAAAAATTTTAAAAAATGACATTTTTACAATTTTAGTAACTACTTTTTTTGAAAATTTTTACAATTTCAGTAAAACAATTAAATAGTTTTGTATTGCTATTAATAAGTTCAATATAGTGGTTAATAACAAGTTTTTTAAGAAATTTAAAAGGTAGTATTTTTATAACTTCAGTAATACCGTTAACAAATTCCGTAAGTCTATTAATAAGTTCGGCATAATATTTAACAACGGGTTTTTTTAAAAAATTCAAAAAGTAACATTTTTACAACTTTAGTAATACGGTTAACAAGTCATATAATAATATTAACAACTCTCATAAAATGTTGATGTTTTTTATATTAGCTTCTTATAAAAGTTGTACAACAAAATTTTTTCACTTGTTAGGCAGTCATTATATATGGTTATGAGAGTTGTTAATATCGTTACATGACTTATTAACTATATTACTAGAGTTAAAAAAAAGTCACTTTTTGAATTTTTCAAAAAACATGTTGTTAAATGCTATACCAAACTTGTTAATAGAGTCATGGAACTTGTTAATGGTATTAATTTTTGAATTTTCTAAAAAATCTGTTGTTAACTGCTATACTGAACTTGTTAGTAGCGTTACAAAACTTGTTAACCGATTTACTAAAGTTATAAAAATTTTCAAAAAAAGTAGTTATTAAAGTTGTAAAAATACCATTTTTTTGAATTTTTAAAAAACTTGTTATTAAACGCTATACTATAATTGTTAATAGAGTTACGAAACTTGTTAATGGCATTACTAAAGTTATAAAAATGTGACTACTTCGGTCCTAAATATAAGATATATTTTGTATCAATACAAAATAGATCTTATATTTAGGACCGGAATAGTACTTTTTGAATTTCCTGAAAAACCTGTTGTTAACTGCTATACTGAACTTGTTAATAACATTACAAAATTTGTTAACTATTTTAATGAAGTTGTAAAAATTTTCAAAAAAATTGTTGTTGGTTGACGGAACTCAGGTAGTGCCAGAGCTCAGGTAAGCGCTGGTAACTACGGCCACTTGAGCTCCGGCAACCACCACCGGTATCGAAGCTATAGTGACTGGCCGGCCATGGGGGCATTTGGTTTTTTAAAAAACAATAAATAAAATAAAGAGCAATATAATTATTTCAACAAATTTACAAATATCAAATTAGTTACTCATGACTGAATTGAGATTTTACAAATTTAAGTGACTATTTTGATATTTTCAAGTTTAAATATCATTTTTGTCTCATTTTCTCAATCTTTAATTAGGCCTAACAAAGGATTTCTAAATATTGTTGAAAAGACTACAATATCTCTCTTTAGTTTAAAAGAAAATTAAAAATAAGCGTAAGCATGATTTCAAATTTGATAATTTCACCTAGATTTAATTAAATTTTTCCTTTGTTTTTGTTTTGTTTTATGTTTTTATTTTTGTTCATAAAACAAAAAATATTTATCTATAAAAAATTGTACTATTTATCTATATATAAAAGTACTTAAATTTATATATAACCTAATCACAACCAATATTTTAGTTTTTAACCTCATTTTTTTCCAAAAATAATTATATAAATACATAAATATTTGTCATATATATTACAGCTCATTGAAAATGAATGAGCATTTTTTAAGGGTAAAAATACACTAACCTAGCCCTCTGTTTTATTTAAATTATAGAAATATTTCCTTTATTTTGAAAACAGATATCGACCTTCCTTGAAATTAAAATATATATTATACTAGCATTCCTCATTAATTTGAGATTTTATTTTCATCTATCCAACTATTAGTTGACTGTTAAATTTGATCCATAAATCATTCAAAAAGAATTTGATCCATAAACTTTCATTTTGATTAAATACCCCTCCTTCACATAATAATTATTTAAACATTTATATTTATTTTTATGTCAAACATTTATATTGTTAAAAAAACACTATTTTTTTCATACAGCCAAAAATTATTTTAATACATATATTTCAAACCTCCCAATATGTTATAAAATTTATTAATTTATTAATTTTATTATATTATAAAATTTTATAATTTTAATTTTTCATGGCATCAATTCAAATCTATTTATTTAGATTTTTATTACATGGCTCAAAAATATTTTAAAGGAACTTTTTTTCATTATATAATCTAAATTATGTAGGTTTGAGAGATTATATAAATAATTTAAATTTAATATTTAAAATTTTCAAACAAAATTTTTGTTACAAACATTTATAAACATATTTACTTAATTATAAATTTATTTAAAGAATTAATCAAATTTTTAAGGTCTACATTAATTAAGTTATTTAAGTTTTATCCCAAAAAAAATTAAACAAATATTTGCAAGTAAAATAAAATTAAGGAAAAGAAATAAACTTTAAAATATTCTTTCAAAAAATTTTAGTCAAAATTAAGAACTTAATATGAAAAAAAACTAAATAAAAATTCTTCTAATATAATTTTTAATTAAAAAAAGCATCTTGTCGAAACATTTTTAACCGAGTTGATGGTATAGATTTAACTATATGTTTTTAAAATAGAGAAAAATTTTATATAATTAAGGCAAAATAAAAGGGAGGTTCAAGTATTTTACTTTTTTTAATGAATTCTAGTCTTGTGATTGGGTCTCAACTCCTTCCAATTAAAAACAAGTTTAAAATTTATTATTCTCCCATAAAAAATGGAAGAATCTCAATTAATTTAACTGAAATATAAAAATTTAAATTTAGGCCTACACATTTAATAAATCTTTAATTTGGCCAATACGCCTAACAAGGAATTTCTGAATGTCAATAAAAAGAACCACAATATCCCTTTTCCTCTTTAGTTGAAAAGAAGATTAAAAATAAATGTAACTCTGATTTCAAATTTGATAATTTTAATTTTTCATCGCATCAATCCAAATCTATTTATTTAAGCACTTTTTTTCATTATATTAGAACAGAGACTAATTGAAAATAATTATTTTTAACTTGTTCTCAAACGATGGTCTACTTTTTCAGTATAAGATTTTTTTTTTTAATAAATGTCACCCATGAGTTGTATTTCAAAGCTACGAATTGTTATTCAATTGTGAGAATTAAAAATTGAAGAAAAAATATTACCTTTTACGCGCTTGCTGAGATATTGGGCCATTCCTGCAGGATTCAACAATAAAACATAGCATTAACTCAAAATTCTAAAATCTTAATACAGAGTAATTAATACGTTAAAAAGATAACAAAAAAAATAGAGCAATCAATCAATCAATCAATCATCCATCCATCCATCCATTATATTATATTCTTAAAAACTCGTAATATCTGATTTGCTTAAAAACAAGTCGGGTATGATATTGTGATATTTGAATATATTCAATTAATAAGGTTTGAATAATATTCTAATTGGGATTTTGATATGTTGAATTAAATGAGGATTATTATTATTAAATGGGATTTCAATTAGAAGCTCAAATAAAAAAATTAATTAATAATTTTAAATTTAAATAATATCTTAATTGGAATTTGAATCTATTGAATTAAATGGGAAGCATCATAATTAAATAGTATGTCAGTTGGGGGTTTAAATTGAAAAATAAATAAATAATTCAAATCCTATTTGAATGAACAACCAAAAAAAAATCATAGTTTTTATAGGAAATAAATCTTGAACTATCTTAAAAAAAATCATACTTTTATAGGAAATAAATCTTGAACTATCTTAAATAATCTAATTTATTAGAATTTAAAATCTGATCAAATATTTCCATCTGTGCACGGGAGAAAATTTCTAGTTGTTATCAAAATGTCGAAGGAAATAAGGACAGTGTAATAGAAGCAAGAGAGATGTAGAGTATGTGAATGAGAATTCTTCCCCATTACTTATCTTTACATGTCTCTCTTTTACTTCTATCAAGAAACTGTGTGACCGAGAATTCTGTCCAAGTACATCTCTCTTACTTCTATTACATTATCCTTATTTTTTTCAACATTTTCATAACAGTAATATTGCAAATATCTGGAAGACAAATTCACCCTAACTATAAACTCCTCGGACACTACTGCTATGTTAATTGAAGGTATCAACAGAATGCTACAATCAATATATAAAAAAAATTAATTGATTATCTTGTTTCATATATTTGAGACCAAATCCATGCCAAAGGGGAAAAAAATAAAATTCTTCCATCCAAAACATAAGTTACAATTTTTCGGATTAGGTGGTCCCTTTAATATGAGACCGCAAGGAGTATCATTTTTCATTGACTGTGATTCTCACAAAGCAAGCAGATAAATATACGAGAACGGCAAAATGATTTACCACAAAAGAGATGAAAAGGTAATACATGCGGTTGGCAATTGGCCAGCTCCGCGTAAACTTCGCAATAGACCTGGTTATTGCGGAGCCAGCACCCCTCGGAGTCGACTCTACAAGAAAGATCAGAACAACCTAGTCGCCACCACGAAATCTCGAAACCATAGGAAAGTACTCTGTGAATATCAGCGTAGAAGTAGCTTCTCTGGTCCAGGAATGAACTCCAATCTAAAGCAATGGCGGCCACTGATTTCACACGACACTCAGGTTTCAGCCTCTGGGCCTCTAAGTCTCTGCCAGCCACGACATAAACATGGCCTCCTCCTTCTCCTTTGGCTCCCCAATCCACGCAGGGAGCCGTATCCACGTAGCCCGCAGCGTCCCTCACCGGATCACTACAGTTCAGGTAAATGACGTGGTGGAATGCAGGGGAACCGCCCAGAAAGGCATCATAGGGATTATCCTTATCATATTCCAAGGAAGAATTAGAAGTGTAGGTGAAATTAGATAGGGATAAGGTATAGCGAGGGAGGGAGGAGCAATCGTCCTCCCGAATGCCAGGGTCTTTGACTCGGATTGTGTAGTTGTCATAGTTGATTCGCAGTACTTGGTATGTTGCTGTCCCTGCAGGATTGAGACGAAGCAGAGCGACATTGTTTTCACAGGCTAACTCGTAAGGCCCGAGGCCACAGTTGGGCGGGTCGCCTCGGAGACGAAATGGATATGAGATGTTTGTGATGATGCCGCAATGAGACGGATTACAGGTTTTGCTCTCATTCTTTGAACCCATTGTTTGGGGTGTTAGATACACACAAGTGAACAACATTAAACCCCATAACCCGGTCAAGCCTATTTTCCCTCTCCCCATCCTCCACAATGATAGCCAATGCACCCTCATAATTCAGTGGCTTCTCATCTCAATTCAATTCGATCCCTTCTCTTTTAAACTATGTTGGGCCCATTAATAATTAATTATGAGCTTCTTTTAGCGCCCACGTTTGACTATTCAAGATAAAGTAAGAAATTTAATATTTAAGACTTATTTTATAATATAAATACACTACAAAATAGATCTATATTTAAGGTCAGAAGAATAGTACTTGTAGTTCTTAATATAATAGTTGATAATTAATGTAAAAAAATTAAAGAAATTAGTTAAATTAGTTAACTATAAAAACAATATGTGTTGCATTTTCCAAGTTACTCTATTTAATCATATGCACTATCATTACCCTTTGGTTGGAACGCCTTTATGATCAATAGGAATATTATTAAGAAAAATTTTTTAATTTGAGAGATAAAATAATTGAGATTTTATATTTAGAACTAAATCTAACCTTCTAATCCTTATACTCTTCCGGTTCTTAATATAATACATATTTAACTAATTTGCATAGATTAAGAAAGTTAGGTAAGTTAGTTAATTATGAGAAATATGACATGTTTTTCTTAATACATTATAATTATTTTTTTAATATCTTTTTTTCTTCTTTTACTTGATTGTGGTTGAAAGAGTATTTATAGAGATAATTTAAAAAAATTAATAAATATAAAAAATAAATCTTATATATAAAACTAAAATCAATTTAATAATTAACTTCTATATTAACAAGTAGAAGAGTATCAAAAGCTGCAGGTGGTATTTCCAATCGCAAGTAGACCATAGACCGCGAGAGATTCCTGAGCGCCACGTCATTTGTGATCTCCCCAATTAAATAAAACCAACTCAAATAAATTCAGGCTCACACGGCATCTCTGGTCAGAGAAATAAAACGCTGTGGGTCCGACAAAAGTTTATACTATTTAACAGTTTCTCTCTCCGTCAATTTAATGTCTCTCTCTTCCTCCCATTTTCACTTCCAACAATGCCCCTCTCTTCTCTTCCATCAAGAACCACCAAATCCCTCCGCTGTTTGAAAACCGCCCAAAAAACTTCCGTCCTAATCTTGCTCCACCAAGAGGCCACAATGCTTCCCCGCAATATATTAGTTATTATTAAAAATATTTATTTATAACATTTATGTTAACTAAGTTAATGTTACAAAATACATTAGTTATATATTAAAATATTTATTTATATCTGATATACAATTAAATAAAATTCGGCGGTATTGTAAAATTTTAGGGGTTTCTTAATATATTTTTACATCTATTAAATTTTTTTATCTTAAACATATAGGTAAAATATATGCATATGTATATATAAATAAATTGAAAAAATGGACCCAATGGATATATGCATATTGTATAAAAAAATCACATATAATAAGGTCTAATCGAATAAACCTAATCAATATAAGTAAATTGATGTAAGTTTTGTTTTGAAAAAAAAAAATACTACTTTGCCTTTAAATATAGAAGGTAGATAAGATATTCATTTTAGTCCTAGGTATAAGACTTAGTTTATTTTACCTCTTGAATTTGTAATTTTTTTAAAGTATCATATTAAAAATTGACAAGTTGGAAAATTTATCCAAATGTGACTTAAAATTTAAAAGAATTTGCAAAATTGCAATAACAATCAAAGTTTAACAAGTACTCCTTCCCTATTACGTTATTTCAAATGTTAGTTAAAATTGGTTGAGGATAATAAATATATTAAAAGTATAACTTTTTTGTCAAAAATACTTTCATTTATATGAATGAAAGATAATGTGTGAAAGAGAGAATGTGTGAAAATTAAAAATAATGATATGAGTAATATGAGTAATTAAATAAGGGTAAAATAAAAAATCAGCAAATAAAATTTGAGACAACTTTTGAGTATCTTGCATAAACAGAAACATCACATACTTTACAATTATAGGGGACAGAAGGAGTAATAAAATAGTTTTTCCACTCAAAATGTATCTATCATTTTATAACATCAACTTAGTTAGTATAAATTTATAAATAAATATTTTTGTTATATTATGGGGAAGGACATGTTGGTGGAGTGGGGTTAAACTTATCAACGTTTTTTGGGGTGGTTTTCAAATTTCAGCGGCTGACGGATTTAGTGGCTTGATGGCCGAGGTGGAAGGGACATTGTTGGAAGTAAAAATGGGAGGAAGGGAGGGACATTAAATGGACGGAGGGAGAAACTGCGAAATATAAACTTTTGTGGGACTTGTGACTTTTTGTTTCTCTGACCAGTGATGCCATGTGACGCCGAATTTATTTGAGTTGGTTTCATTTAATTAGAGAGACGTGCCACTAGGAGTGCCACGCAAGAATTTCTCCGAGCCTGAGAGAACCACATGTTCGATGTTTCAAATTTGAGACTGAGGTCGTTGGGAATGAGAGGTCCAGAAGCGCATTAAATTGGCGGAGAGAGAAATTATTAAATATAAATTTTTGTGGAACTCATGACTATTGACTTCTCTACAAAAAAACAAAAAACCGGACCGGACATTAAAAACCAGTTGAGATAATGGGTTAAGAGTTATTGGTAAAACCGGAATCGGACCGGTTATATTAAAATAATATAATTTAATTCATACTTTGTATAACCAATCTCCAAAAGAAACAAAATCAAAAGCATCTAATGAATTGAATAGGAACCTAATCGCCAGACTTTTCTCCTTATATTTGATTTTATAGTTTTATTATAATTACTATAAGCATGGGAAACAGTGGGAAGCAGAGATTTTTTTTTTTAAAGCAAAAAAGAGAATGTGCCGAGATAAAATAAAAAAAAATGATTTACGCTTTGAATGACGAAAAAGAAGAAAAAAGTCTGCAATACACAGTGTACCATCCCACATGCTTATTAATGCTTTGTAATGTGATCCAGTTGTTCTGTTCTTTTTGATTTAACGTGGTGCTTTTCTAGCCAGCCGAAAATTGAAATTTAAAACTATTCCTCTTCCCTCTCTATATTGTCCATTCTCTTTCATTTCACTCTGAACCATTTTTGTCATCTTTTCTCCTGCTCCTCCCTCCTTCGATGGCTTAGGAAGCTAAAGTTGTAGAAGGAATGCAGAGATCAAAAGAAGCTTCGCAAGCTCCTCTCATTCTCCTCCCTCCCTTCTCCTTCCTCCTCTACATCTGATCTCTTTTATCTGCCTTCCTCCTCCCCCTCTTGCTCTTTCTTCTTTTTCTCCATGAATTTTCTTTTTTCTTCATGCTTGTTTCTGTGCTTTTTTGGGGTGTTTTCGAGGGAGCCATTTAACCCGTCCAACCCAGCAGGTTGTCCAGTTATTACCGGGTCATTTCGGTTTAGACCGATTCATACTGGTTCGTAGACGTATCGGTTCAGAGGATGAACCAGACCGGCCACCTGACCGGTTTGCTGGTTTCCAGTCTAAACCAGCCGGTCCGATCCAGTTTTTTATTCCTTCCTTCTCTAACCAATAATGGCATGTGAGACTAAATTTATTTGAGTTGGTTTCATCTAATTGGGAAGATCACAAATGACGGGGTGCTCCCAAAACCCGGAAGAATTTCTCCATTTAGTCCTCAACCTCACTATTTCACTATTTATTAAATTCAAAATTGACTTGAAATTTTTTGAAAAGATAAAGAAATTCCAGAGCCACATGATTTTTATTAAATTCAAAATTGACCTAAAATTTTTTACCACTCCAGTACTATAATGAAGTTTCTAGGTAGCATCCCCCTTCCCATGCTCTGTTTGTCTATATATGTGGTGCCACGTTACTAATACTTATTGGCAAGAATATGAACCCAAGTTTGATTAAAAGAAAAGCTTTTGGTTACAATGTTTTCCTGTCAGAGATTTTTGTGGTTGGTCATAATGCAGGTATTGGCGCTGCTTATGAATCTGGGCAATGCTCAGCGCCAGTGTGTCCCTGACAATGAAATTGTTCCATTCCATCTCGTGCCAGACAAACTTGATGATAGCAATCCCTGTGTTTCCAATACCAAGACTAAAGATGTGGAGATGGTTAAGTTCCCAGGAGTATCAGCTCTCAAAGAAGTTAGACTTGCCGTTATATCAAAAAACAAGACGTCCCGCATCTTAGAATTATGTGATGTTAGAGGTTGTCTTCCCCAACTCTATTTACAACTTCATAATTCATCCATTTTTCCTTTCCAATTGGGATCATCTAATGAAACTTCCAACGTCACCTTTTTCAATTGTTCCTCGATTGGGTATAAATACTTGAAAAACTCTCATAGGCCACCCCAAGATATGCGTGTTTGCCCGATTTATGTTGTTGACTCCACCGAAGGTATCCTGGAGGAGGACGTAACCTTTTGCACCAAGATGTTTCAGTTAGTAACGCGATTAGACCCATATGATGTTCAACAGAACAGATTGATCTTTCGATGGTCCAAACAGAAATGTCCTGCTGAAAAGAGAGAGAAATCATTCAAATTTGTTTTACCAACTTCAGGTAAAAATAGTTCAATTTGCTTCGCCTTCATTTTCCCTCCATTTGGTTTTAGGATGTTCCTTGGATTGAAATTAAGTGTATGATTAATGTGCTCTGTAACTACACAGGTTCGATTGTCTTGGTGTTGTGCATTATGTTCCTTCTACTAATATATCGCTACTTCAAAACAAAAGGAGATGATCATGCAAGACTTGAAAAGTTTTTGAAGGATTACGAAGCTTTCAAGCCCACAAGATTTTCCTATACTGATCTCAAAAGAATCACAAACAATTTCAAGGATGAAATAGGCGAAGGAGCTCATGGATCAGTCTTCAAAGGTAAGCTCTCCAATCAGATTATAGTAGCTGTGAAGGTACTCAACAACTCTGATGACGATGGCAAGGATTTCATTAATGAAGTAGGGACTATGGGCAAAATTCATCACATCAATGTTGTTCGTTTGTTGGGCTTTTGTGCTGATGGTTTTCGCCGTGCTCTTATTTATGATTTTTTCCCCAATGGTTCCCTCCAAAAGTTCATATCTTCCCCTGACAACAAAGAAAATTTTCTTGGATGGCTGAAGTTGCAACAAATAGCTCTTGGCATAGCCAAAGGGATTGAGTATATCCATTATGATTGTGATTATCGAATTCTTCATTTTGACATAAATCCTGGTAATGTGTTATTAGGTCACAACTTTACTCCCAAAATTTCTGATTTTGGTCTAGCAAAATTGTGTTCTAAAACTCAGAGTGCTGTATCAATTACGAGAGCAAGAGGAACTTTAGGTTATATTGCACCTGAAGTTTTTTCAAAAAATTTTGGAAATGTTTCATATAAGTCAGACATCTACAGTTATGGCATGTTATTGTTAGAAATGGTAGGAGGAAGGATAAATACCCACACAAGTGAAGAAGCTACCCAAATTTTATATCCAAAATGGATCCATAATTTAATTGAAGGAGGAGACATAAATGTTCAGATTGAAGATGAAGATGACAGTAGAATCGCAAGGAAACTAGCAATTGTGGGACTTTGGTGCATCCAATGGCATCCAATCAGCCGTCCATCCATGAAAACAGTGGTACGAATGTTAGAAGGAGAAGGTGATGAATTAAAGGTGCCACCATCAATTCAATTTGACTCCATAAATTCCTTCACTACAGGAAGTGATATTCCAACAAGACATTTGAATTTAGGGTTAGAAATTATTCATGAATTAGAATAAGAAGCAGCCTCATTCTCACCTATGTAAGTTGTACTTCTATTGGGAGATAATTTGTAAGAGTTTATGAAATTGTTGTGTTGATTGCACAAATGAACTTTGGTTATCATGCATGCACGTACCAGTGTATTTCTTCTAGCATTGTAACTTTTTATACATATGAATTAGAATAAATTCTACTTTTGTTTTTGTACTTAAAAAGTCATTTCCAAGAAGGTTATTTCTGTCAAACCCGTTTTATTTAGCTGCACGACTAGGGCATTAAGAAAACAAAAGGCATTTGGGATCAGTTAGCAAAGTCTTAATTTTATAGTCATATAAAAATTTCTCCTTAAAATAAGCGCAATATTAGGTTAAGCAATCACATCAAGATTCTTAGCCATAATTTTCTTGTTAATTACTACCTCCGATTCTTAATATAAGAGTTTGTTTAACTTTTAATTTGATCATAAATATAAGACTCCTACTCACTTTATCTTTTATATTTATCTATTTTTCTCAAAGTGGTCCTTATAATAATTGCACATATTAAATGTTTTATCAAATGACACTTGATCAGTAATGGTATTTTAGAAAAGATAATACATATTTATTATAAACAACTAATTCAACTAATTTTCTTAATCTACTCAAATTAGTTAATTAGTTCTTATATTAAAAACCGGAGCTAGTATTAGAAAATTTATCCGTGTTCTCCAAGTTCAACATTATAGACACTGCGCATGGGTTTCTTTTGTCTTTTTTATTATCCATATGAGAAGAATATTGATTTAAGTGCTCTAACGTTGATTATTATCTTGATTCCTTCATAATTTTTTTTTTTCGCGCTCAAGTGTTGCTCAGTGGTTATCACTCACAATCTTCCTTATGTGGCCATCTTTTAATTAATATTGAACAGGGTGACTGTTGGTGGGTTGAAAAATTTGCTGGGGGCAATGAGACAAGGATAATGGAGAAAATCATTTACACTTCATCATTTTTTGAACATAACCAATTGATGGAAGTATTATCGGGTCGATGAGAATCAAGTGAGAAGAGTTATAATATTCTGAAGATGATTTTTAAAATGAAGAAGGATAAAACGCTGCAAGTTGGGAGGCGCTGTGAGAGAGCAAGACGATTCGGGGAGACTGAGAATTAGAGATTATTATTAGTGGAATTGCAAAAATACCATTAAGTGTAATTGTGAGTTTTGAGTTGGGATAAATTAAAATTAAAATAATACAAAAATTACATGTCATCGGTTAAGTAATTTTAAATAATCTGACATGACATTCATTCTGTTAGATTTAAGGGTATTGGGTTAAATGTCAAGCTAGGAAAATTGAGAGTGTTATTTTTAAAATTTTAAGATGGTGGAGTTATTTATATTAAATTCAGTCATTCCCAAGAAGGTTATTTATTTCTCTCAAACCTATTTTATTGAGATGCACGATGGAAGGCATTGAAAAGAAAAGGTTGAGCTAACATGTCTTAATTTTATAATGGTCATATAAATTTTTTAAGTCTTCAGGCAAAAAAAAAAAATTTATAGTCATATAAGACTTTGTTCTTAAAATAAGTGTAATGTGGTATCACTTGCAATATACTACCTCATGTTTTTAATATAAGAGTTAGTTTGACATTAATTTAGTGTTAAATATAAAACCCAAATTCACTTTGTCTCTCATATTTCTCTATTTTTCTCGAGATAGTCGTTCCACTAGTTGTACATGTTAAGTGTTTTATCAAATACTAATTCTAGCTAATACAATTATTAGCAAGAGTATTTTAAAAAAGATAATATCTATTTATTATAAATAATTAACTAACTAATTTTCTCAATATACTTAAATTAGTTAATTAATTTTTATATTAAAGACCGAAGAAGGTGGTATTAGGTTAAACAATTAACATCAAATTGTAAGCCATCCCCCCCCCTCTATACATGATGAAATCATTAATCTGACTTAAATTAACGCAAAAGCTTTCCAAAAATTTATCAATGTACTTAATATGAGGCATATGGCGAGTGACAAATAGACGACGACAACAATAACAAATCTTATCTCACTAGGTGGGATTTGCTACATGAATCACACGACGCTATCGTGTTTTGTCAACAATCCAGTCCTTAGATATGTTGTTGACTAGGATGTCTCACTCAATGACTTCATTGAGCGTTCTTCTTGGTCTTTCTCTGTCTCTTTTTATGAGACTCCATATTGTCTAATCTACCCTCTTTACCGGGACCTCCAATGACCTTCTTTGCATATGTCCAAGCCATCTTAAGTGATTTTCAACCATTTTCTCTTGGATCGGCGCCACGCTGACTCTTGCTTTGATATTTTCATTTCGAACCTTATTTTTTCTTGTATGACCACACATCCATCTCAATATTCTCATTTTTGTTACCCCAACTTTATGCTCTTGTTTTCCTTTTATCGCCTAACATTCACTACCATACAACATAGCTGGTCTTATAGTAGTCTAATAAAATTTTTCCTTAAGCTTCTCAGGTTCCCTTTTATTGCAAATAACTCCGGTAGCCTTCCTCTACTTTAACCAATTAGCTTGTATTCTATGAGAAACGTTTCCATCAATTTCACTATGCTTATGTATAATAGATCCAAGGTATTTAAACTTTAATACTTGAGGAATGATTTGATCTCCCATCTTCACCTCCAAATCTCCATTGCTCTCCCTCCCCCAAAAAAAAAAAATGGAATGCATGAGTTGAAAAAAAAATTTACACTTCTCAATCTAAGTTATCCAGGAACAACTGTATAAAAACCTAATTTTCTATGTACGTCCAAATCACTATAGATCCATAGAAAATCTTGACATTCAAAAGCATTTTAGCATCATCACTTCTCTCAAATTTTCTTTCCCTACATTCACACAATACCATACATATACAGAAGAGGTTCAGAAGAGAAGCCACGCATATATCAAATCATTGCAGAAAACGCTATATATGATGGTGAGGTAATTGGTTTTATGCAAATCGTATAAAAATTTGTTTTTAAAATAAGTGTAATGAGGATAACGCGCTATATCAGGTCAAAGAATGAACATCAAAATTCTTAGGCATATTTTTCCCTCTTGCTCGTTATTAGAAGATTGATCCCTGTTAAAGGTAGGAGTCAGGGTTAGGGCACTGATCTTTCTCAAGACTCTGAAAGTATGAGCCGTGACATGGAGTATGCAAAGAATTTATAACAATTTATGAGAAAAATTTTATTTTTAAAAATTAATTTTATTCATTAATAATTTTTTTAAAAGAATTGTAAATGATGAAATGTCTCACTAAAATAACTTTTTAAATATATATGTATATTATTTTAAAGTGAATTGAGTAATACTACTTCAAGTCCTTAATATAAAAGCTTATTTCACTTTTACAATGATCTCAAATATAAGACCCTAATCTATTTGTTTTTTATATTTATTTATTTATTTTAAAGTAGTCCTTATAATAATAGTAGTTCTAGCCAATATATTTTATTAGCAGGATATTTTAGGAAAGACAACACATATTTATTACAAATAACTAACATAACTAATTTTTTTAATCTACTTAAATTAGTCAATTAGTTTTTATATTAAAGATCAAAGGTAATATTATGGTGGTTAAATAATAAATAAGGAACTGTTAGAATTTTAAAAGAATGCACCCCCAACTCTTTTTCTTCTTTCTCTCATCTTTCTCAAGTCCTCTCCTCCTCTTTCCTCTGTTTCTTTCTCTTCCATTTCTAAAACGTTGCCTTCTTTCTCTCTCTCTTTCCCCCCCCCCCCTCTCCCCCCTCTGCTTTTTTCATGTCTTACCTTCTCTTTTCTCTATCTCTTTTCCTTTTTCTCTTCGTGAGAATGCTGCCTTTTTTGAGGGTCGAGTACTGAACCGGACGCTTTTTTCCACATGTCTACTCTTTCCCTCTCTTTCTTGAAAAAATAGCCAAAAAAATTAAAAATTCTAAATATCAAATAAAAAATATTAACAAAAATTTGTTATTTATTATTATTTATAAATTTAGTATGCTAATACTAAATAAAATATTATTATCAAACTTAAATTAGAACTTAGTAATTTTTAGCTTTTTTTTTTTCTTCCTTTTACCTTTCCCTTTTACTCAGGTCCTCCCATTCTCTTTTTTGGGAGCACATTCCATACTCATCACAATGATGAGCATGAAGTGTTCATCACAATTTGAGCTATTCAAATCGCTTTTAAATTGTTCAGATTAAATTTAAATTTTTTGTATATTTTAATCAACTTCTTATTTTAATATATACAGAATTTAAAATAAATATAATATTATAACTAACATATCTCTAAAAAATAAATTGATCATTTAAAAAAATTGTATATTAAAAATTTTAAATTTAAACCATCTATAATAGATTTTAGACGGTTTATATGGTGTTCATCCTAACAATGAGTACTGAATGAAAACGCCTTTTTCCTGTACCTTTCTTTCTCTTCTCTCCCCTTCTCATTTTCTGCCACCCTCATTCACGTCTTCTCCTCTTTCCTCTCCTCTCTTTCTTTATCTTCTTTCCCCTCTCTCACATCCTCTCTCCTTTAATCTTTCCTTTATTTTTTCAGTTTTTTTTATATCACTTTTTCTTCTTTTTTATCTTTTAGGATCTCCATTTCTTTTTCTTCTTTCCCCCTTTTCTCATGTCCCTGCCTTCCTTTTTTTTTTTTTTCCTGTCCCTATCACGTCCTCTCTCCTTTAATCTTTCCTTTATTTTTTCAGTTTTTTTTTATATCACTTTTTCTTCTTTTTTTTTTATCTTTTAGGATTTCTATTTCTTTTTCTTCTTCCTCCATTTTCTCATGTCCCCGCCTTCTCTTTTTTCTGTATCTTTCCTTCTTTTCTCTTCCAGGACGCTGCCCTCTCTCCCCCCCTTTCATTTTCTTCGTCACCCTCCCTCATGTCACCTAGGGGTGGAAACAGGCCAGGCCAGGCCTGGCCTGTGATGAGGCCTGTTGGCCTGAGCCTGGCCTGCGGCCTGTGAAAGGCCTTTTAATC